GAAGGGCCTAAAGTGCCTCTATCCCAGCGGACACCACGTGGAGGTGGGAGATCCGACTTGCGCCACCCTGGCACCACTTTGTCCACCACCTAACCTAAACCTAACCTAGCCTAACATAACCGTGACAGCGTTTCGCGTGACACCGTTACGTTATGATTTTATACTATAAAGAGTATGATAGAGAATGATAGAATACAATATAACCGTGACAGCGTTACTGACAGCGTTAATGACAGCGTTAATGACAGCGTTATTAACCAGCGAGTCTCATATCGTTAAATTCACGATTATCTATTACATATTGTTTAATTTGTCAAATTCTATTATTTCTATTATTATTATTATATCGAGATCTATTTAGTTTCTTTATTCTAATTAATCATTTATAATTTATATACTTTTCTTTATTTTGTTGTTATTGTTTGTTAGTTTCATTTCTTATCGTTTATTGAATAAATCTACTTGTTGAAAGATATTGACCTGTGGATTTCACTCCTTAACCGCACACCACACGAATCCCACAATCTTTATTTGCGAAGTCGAGTCGTGTAGGGGTAAAAGCCGCTCTTTACCTTTTAGCGCTTGTAACTATCTGAACTTAGGTTCTAGGGACGTTACACACATTCATTGCTATTTATTACGTTATGATACTGCGTTTCACCAGGACGTTCCATCCGTGTTCTATGTCGTATCCGATAATGATCTCATTAAATACTCCAAAATGAACAAATACAGGAAAATTCAAATTTGCTAAATGTTGTTTCAAATTTCGAACCGATTAACGAAAAGATTCATTATTCTGCAATTTAGTATCAGAAATGCCATGATAATTTGAACTCGTCAAGTGCACACAAGGGCTTAATTATATATTATTTAATCTCCTCATGACTGAATATAGAGGGGACCGGGGACAAAGGCAACGCGGGACAAACATAGCAATTGTCATAAACTAAATATCAGTTGATTTATCGTTGTGCCCCTATATCTGTGCATTCCAATTCAATTCTCTCTTTGCATTATGAGGAAACTCCCCGAGGGTTACATTCACCCATTTATAAATCTTTGACATCTTACTATTATCCAACTAAACATTTGTATACCCTATCTTTTCACTATACAGCTGATTGTTTAAAAGATATTAACAACCAAAGGCAGTTACTCTTTATATTTTTTAGTACAACATACAGATAAATATAAAGCAATAGCTGTCCGTTTAAGCGATTGAATGTAGGTCGAAAAGTCTACAATTCAAATCAATTACCGATATTTTTCATTTAAGTATTTGATTATATTAAAATATCATCATTAAAGGTGCAAAGAATTATAATATAATTGCTGTTTCTATTAACAATTTATTAATTATATTATAATTTATTATAATGTTCAGATTGTCTTTATTACTCATTATGTACATTAATATCTTATATTATAACATTGCGTAATTATGCGTCCTTTCTCTGTACATTATATTTATAACTGCTAACAATTTTTGATTGTTGTAAATTTAAACAGAAACACTCACAAAATATGGATAACTGTGGTCGACCAACATACACACACACACTTTATTTAACATAAAAATATTACATAAGTAAATACAAAAATCTTAAGAAGGAGGGAAAAGATAATACTTAAACATAAAACACGCGATGACTCTGCTCAATGCGGCCAAACGCGAGAAAGTAAAGAGGACAAAAAGAAAGTTAGCAGTCGTGGAACAAAAAAGAAAAAATGGCTCCATATTTGCATTCAGTATTCGGCCATTATTGACCGATTTTTAACGTTGATCATTTCGAATTTGAATCGGTTATGTCTAACCGTATAACAACAACACCCTTGCCGTCATTTTGCTAATAAGAAAGAAGCTTTAAAGAACTGGAATTGAGACCAGACATTTTAGAAATCTTTTACTTTAATAAAAGATATAATTCAATATAAAAATACAACTTTGAGTGTCAATTTTCTATAAACATGTTAATATTTTTTATTCGCGAAAAAATTATACAAGCAATAATAGTCTTATCAGCTGATTTTTTGTTGTTTCATTAAAGCAGCAAAGTGCACCAAAATTGCTTGCGGAGAATACGATTTTTAAATTAAAGACAGGAATAAAACAGAGTCCATAGAAATCTTTGTATGTTTAAAAACGTTTATAATAAAAAACAAATAAAAAAATTCTTTCTATGCAATTTAAGAACAAAATAAAATTCATTAAAACCGTACTATCATGTTTATAATATTTATGTATTATCTATGCTTTTTAAATTATTAAAGGAAGAAAGATCGGGCGCCAAAAGATGTAATTTCCAGTTCTCGTCAACTAAACATAGTTGTTAGAAAGTAAACAAATGTTTAAAAATATAAATAGGTAGAAATGAACTATCCACACTGCATATCTATTAATCAGAAAAGAATTGTGCATACAGTTTTAAAACGAAATTCGCATCGAAAGCAGAGAAAGGTTCTATGTTTGGTTTTATATTTCGATTCGATCAGTATATTTTTTTTAATGCTTATCCAATAATTATTCAGCAACGTATGATACGATCGAGATGAAATCTTTTACATGTACCTACTAGAGAATGTTTTCCCAATAGTACCACTTACCACAGTTTTTGAATTTTATTGTTAACTATTGTTATTACAAGAGACTTATTATTCGGCGAATATCCATATCTGTCCACTGTCCGGTGATCACGTTATAATGGACGAGTCAATCGGGACATATCCTTTTGCATCTTGTAGTATATGTCTCGTCATCGGATCCATTTATTATAATTTTTAGATTTGCTTATTTTGAATTGTCGTGATTACAGAACGCAAATTGCTTTATGTATCTCCAACGATTATTTTACAGCAGATGTACTGATGAAACATTTTACATATTGCAAACAACTTTTGCACAATGGTCGCATTTATAAAAATTTTTCGGTTTGTTTATGTTTAACTATTGATATTGGAAAATACTTACTGTTGTATGTTATGCTGCAACTGATAACGCCAACTTCTGGATTGGTTGTACTTAAAGTTAGTATTACAATTACTTGAAGTGAGGTTACGGTTGCCTTAGGATTAGTTTTAGAGTTGGGATTGCTTTTCCATTTTATAGAGTGTTTCAACCGCAGTCCTGTTTGTAAGAACGATTTGATTTATTTATTATATTTTTAATTATAAAAAGCTGATTAATTTACCTATGTTTCGGCAATTATTCTATATTAGATGGTTTTGATCGCAATGAAGACTTTTATATCTTGTAACAGATGTTTCAGCAGTAGTGTTATTTGCAAGAGTTTTCCGATTTCAATCTACTATATTATTACAGAAAGATATGGTCCCAATATCGTTAAAATTTATTAATATCGGAGCAACTAGTACATATAATTTTAGAGTGATTACTTCCCAACTAATGGAAACCATCTTACATTGACTTACTAAATTACTCATTCCATTAAAGATACGAAGTAAAAAATTTGTAAAAAAAAATGTAGCCTACTTCAAAGTGCACAAACGAACAAAAAGTAATTGCTACCTTTTTTCACATGTATAATATCTTATTCATTCAGTAGTCGGCATATTGAATAAATTGCAACTTGCTGGTAGCCGGAAAAAATTTAACGTTTTCATCGATTAGAATATCTTTAATTTTTCCAAATTTTCTCCTAAAGATCATGTACTGAAAATACAGAAACACTGCATTATTGACATAAGTTTCATTCACATTTGGTTAATTTTAAAAATATAAAACTTCTCAAAATGTATTTTGTTTTTACAAGCAGTGACATTGTGTTCTTCCGATTAGATAATTTCATAACAACTATATTTGAGTCGTTTATTTTGAAAGTGGGGCATGCCCATTTTTTTTAAATAAAGCAATCTATAATCAAAATAATTAGAATTACCTAGGCGATGGAAGTTTGGATAATTAACGGATCTATCTATTTTTACCTTTACCTTTTTTACCTTTTATGCAGATAATTTTAAAGTTTTTTAAAAATTTGAAAATTTAATAAGCCTATTTGTCAAACAACTTTTGATAGATTGTTTACTTTATTTATTTACCCATCTATACAAATACATTGTTTATACAAATGATATTAAAGGCTCGACATGTATTGATAATACTGAAACTAAAACAAAAAGGAAAATTACTCTAGTATAACTTCAATAACAATACTAATTTCTATTGATTATTACTTTCATCTAAATAATAAAATATTATTATCT